CTAAAAGAGAGATTGAAGAGGAACAAGTGAAACATTATGAGAATGGGGGGGTGAGAGGTTTTGAATATAAGGATAAGAAATAGGAAAAAAGAAGGAATGAAAGAAGAATAAAGACAGAGTAGGAAAATAGAAGGGGAAGAGGAAAATACTGAAAAGGTGAGATAAAGGAAGGTGAGAGGTGTAGAAATATTTGGGAAAGAAGAAAAAGAAAAAGGACAAAGAAAAAGAAGAAGAAGAAGAAGAGGATGAGGAGGAAGAAGAAATTAGAAAGAAGAAGGAGGAGGGGAAAGAAGAAAAATAAAAGGAGGGGTGACAAAGAAGAATAAGAGTTGGAGAAAAAATAGATTATGGAAGAGAAAAAAATTGAAAAAGGATAATAAAAAAGAAAAAGAGAAGAAAAAAGAAAAAGAGAAGAAAAAAGAAAAAGAGAAGAAGGAAAAAGGGGAATAAGTGGGTAAAAAGAAGAAGTAGAAGAAGAACATAGTGGAGAAAGAAAATAGCAAAAAGGTGGTGATGGTGTTGGTGAAAGAAGAAGAAGAAGAAGAAGAGGAGCAAAAGAAGAAGTAGGTAAGAAGAAGAAGAAGGAGGAGGAGGAGAAGGAGAAAGAGGTGGAGAAAGAAAAAAGAGAAATGGTGATAGAGAAGAAAAAGAAAAAGATGAAAGAAGAAAAAGGAGGAGAGGATGAGGTGAAGAATAAGTAGGTAAGAAGAAAAAGGAGTAGGAGAAGATGTAGTTAACAACAAAAGAAAAAGAAGGTGATTAATAGATAGCAATGAAAAAAAAAAGGAGAAATTTTAAAAAGAAAATAAGAGAAGAAAAAAGAAAGAAATTCAGAGGATGATATAGAAAAGAAAACTAAAAAGAAAGACAAATGAAAATAGAGAAAGATACAAAGAAGGGGTGATGGTGGTGGTAGGGATGAGGATGATGATGGTGGTGGTGGTGGTAGTGATTTCCCATTGTTTTAGTCAAGTTTAGCTTGGAGAAACAATGTGTAGATAAAAACTAAAATCCTCAGAAAATTTTGCTGAAATTGTCAGAAGAGACATAAAAGATAAAGGCTGGTGAGTCAGATAAATGAAAAAGAGGAGACTTCAAAACAAAGCAGGAATATTTCACTGGAATGTTTCAAAAATTTATCTTTTAAAAAGATTCCTTCCTTTTTTTTTTTGTCATTAAAAGTTTTGCTTTCTTTTTATACTTTTATACATTAAAGTTCTTTTGTTTTCCAAATCTAAAATTTCTTCATTTATATAAATTTTTGAAAACTGAACATGAAATGCAACTGCCATGATAATGAAGGAATGTTATCAGTGATGGCTTTATGGTTAATGTATTGAATTCAATTCAAAGAGTCAAAGATTAGCATTTTTATATTTGTCCTAATTTATATACGCAACTCATCTTTAAAAATTTATTATGAAAAGCATTTTTTTCAATCATTTCACCCCAAACAAGGTGATAATTCCACTAGGATGCAAGGGGTTACTGGGAGTGGAAGAGAATGAAAATACAGTAGTGAAGAGAAAGGAAAATAAAAGAAGACAGATGATGATGATTGGTATTGCATTTAAATTTTTGAACATTGTAAATAGAATGGAAGCAAGAAATTAAAAGAGAGATGGTGATGGATGAGAAAGAAGTGTGAGAAAATAAACTATTAAAACAGAACATATGGTTGCATGTAGTTAGTTTAACAGTTGCTATTCTAGTAGCATGCTTAATTTCATGCAGTCAAGGCATGAAGGAGGAAAGCACATCAGAACAGTTGCCATGAAAATATTTGTAGAAAAGGCAGAGGGAAGCCTCATCACATCAGTGAGAAAGTAACTAAAGTAAAAATGCCAGGTCAGTATCAATAATATTACACACCCTTCTTTATATTTTGTCAAGAATCTTGAGATATACATGGCAACAATATTCAATACACAGACAAATGGTAGATTTATAAATATGCAAGATGGATTCTGACAAGAAAAATCGCCATAGACAACAAAGTGAACCAACCTTCCTAACAACAAGACTCAGCAACTGATTCAATATAACCTTTCCATTTCATGTCATTTCATGTTTCTCTCCTGGAGGTTAGCATCAGCCATAATGATGAAGGAAGAAAAAGTTCTTTACGGTGATTAAAAGAGAGCATTTTTGTTATGGAGGTATTAAAATTTGCAAGCTATTTCTTACCGCACCTAACCACTGATTCGAGAACAGTTATCAGTTTTATTTTGTCAGACTTGTCAAACTTGCTTTGAAGAAATGGGTAAATAGCTGTGTCATCATTATAAATACTTAGATGGAAGCTGATGAAAGTCATCGATGAAGTTAAGAAACAATGTGGATCCAAATGAGGAAGAACTTTTGGTATTTCCTATTTTTAATCTGATAACTTGGAATCAATCCAATGTATATCAATTATACATTGGCACCAATAACCTTTTTCTTTTCAAAATTGGTAACAGTTAAAAGGAAGAACATACTGGTAATATAATGGATATCTACATGTAAAATGGAATCGAAAGTTCAAAGTTGAAAATCCAGGCTCATCTTTTGCATTCACTTTTGCACTAATGCCTTTGGAAAAGGTATGGATCAATACCTTCTTCCCCAGTTATGACTTAAGTAACAGGTTAGACTCTATGTTCTCTAGCTTTTGCTGGCAACCAGTCTAAGAGAAAAAAAATTCTAATTTCCAAACTGTGGAAAAAGCAATTGGAAAGCACTCTACTATCTTTGCCAAGGATACATGGCAATTCCCAGATAATAAAGTAAAGGAATTTGTAGAAAGCCATGATCACCTAAAGGAATATGGCATTAAATATAATAGTTAAATATTTGGAAATTTCTTAAGTTTTATTTTGTTTTAAAAGTAAAGAATACTTTTAAACAAGACAAGAATTGTCTGGATTTGGATGAATAAAGTAAAATAAAATAACTTCTGTCTGAATTTCTGGAATGAGAGTTATTGAATAATTATTAATTAATTTGGTGGCATAGTAATTGTAAGTTCAATCCATTTCTAAGGTAGTACAGACTCAGTAGAAACAGGGTGAGCAATATTTGAGAAGTACCAAATAAGATATCCCTAGACATCGAAAGAGAGCAATTTTCAACTGTAGATTAAATAAATAGCTCATTTTAAAATTCCTTGAAGGTTATCCTGATTAACAGATGCCCTGAAGAAGGCTGGTAGGCAACAGAGATGAGGATATTAGTCCAAATGTAAATAAGGAAAATTTTAAGTAATCCTAACTAGGCACAGTGGAGTAATGGATAGCAGCTCAGATTGAGGAATTGGAGAGCCAAGTTCGAATTCCAGTCAAATCTATTACATTCACTTAAGTGTTAATACCTTGGGAAAGGTATGAATCCTCTTCTTCTCCCCCCCAGCTCTGGGTAAATAGCAGGACAGACTGGGTTCTATAGCCTTGGATGGCAACTGGTCTACTACAGAAAGAAATGGTAACCCACTGCAAGAAAAATCTGCTTTGTCAGTCATGTATCAAAAGATATATGATCGCCTAAGTATGTATCATGCATGGCATGTAAATGGCTGAAAACAATTCAAGGTCATATTTACTGTGCCTCACGTGAGTATCATTGACCAAAAATGATAAAATGCATGATTAACTAACTGAAAATGTCATATTTTAAACTAGTATTATGCTTTGTAGGAAGTTGTAGAGAGCCATGATTGCCCACAGTAATGATGCTGATTATGATATAGGATGGAGGGACTCCAAAAAAGAAAGCATTCATAAAGTAGAAAGTATTACTGAAAACATCAATGAAACTGATTAAGAAGGACTTGATAATTAAAAAAAAACTTTCAAGAGATTCTATAGCTAAAGAGTTTATGCAGCACCCACCTCATGTGCTACATCTTATCAAACACCTAAGGTGATTACACTAATTATGAATTTATTGTCTAGTGCCTAATTGATTCAGTGTGCAATAACTGAACATCAGCAGTAGACCTAGAAGAGTGAAATCAATACTGTTTGTCATTTAGACAGTTGTTTCTTTTGTGGTGGCCAACAACCTTCCTCTTGATTATAGACTCAATTTTGCTAATGTGATACTAAAGAGTCTGATGGGTTGATATTGAAACTGGCATGATCACTCATCCATATTCTTTAAAATGGTTCATTTGAATTATTATAGTCATGAATGAGAACCACTTTATTGTCTATGTACTGTGTCCCTTCTACTAAATATTGCTTGGTACATTATATCTGCAGAAGAGAGGTGACAATCAAATGTATAACTGGATGTGACGTTTATTTTCACTTAATATGTAAGAAACTTTGTCTTTGTCTGACCTGTACGAAAGTGGAATTAATGAAGACAACCTACAGACCACATGTAAATTGAATGAGAGAAACCAGGATGTAAAAGTTGCCATAATATAAGAAGCTGTAAAAATAAGGTGTAGGCTGTTGAACTGGATATTATGTAATATTAAATGAAGCCAAATCTCTCAAAATAAGGCATTATGGGGTTCTTGGAAAGAGAAAGGAATATGTTGCTCTTGTTCAGTCTCCAAGGTCCACTATATGCATTAATATATCCATGATATAACAACACATTTTAAAATGAAGAACTAAAGTAACTTAAAGAAATTAATTTCTAAAAAGGAATTATACATAAAATCATTTTGTTTACATCACTGACGTAAAAAAATATAAGTGACAGATTTGCATACATACCTTTAGTTTTGGGCTCTTAATAAAAACTAAGTAAAAATAATGATATATGAACAAAGGAGATTTGTTTATTTTCAGATTTAATGGGGCTTCTTTGAACTAATTTGAAATAAAATATTTGGAACCCTCTAATTAGAATGGGTCTTTTAAATTAGATGGGTCCTTTTGAAGAGGTCCTATTTAGACTTTAATGCATCTTTTTTATATACATATAATTTTTTTTATATAGCTTTTGAAGTTTTGCCTAATTTTGTCTACTTTGCTCAATTTTACACTTTACTGAACACAGACATG